GATTGACTGCTATCAACGCACAGCTCAAACCATTGGACGGATCTGGCTGAAATTTGGCATACAGATAGCTATTATAATATAGACGTGCGCTAAGAAAGGATTTGCCAAAATTCACATTTTAAATAGGTGCTGAAACAGGGACATTGAGATTCACGATAGAAATTGGAAATTTTATTTTTATTTATTTATAGTTGCCATTGGTTACAGTCTACATTAGAAATTAGCATTTATTTATTGGTTGCCATTGGTTATTCGGGCAGATCAGGTACAAGCTTGCATCAAATCGAATTATTGAACAATGCTTACCAGGGTGGCAGAGTTGCACTTACCGCAGAAAATTACACCCAAAAGGAGTTCAACAATCATAATTTTTTTAAGAGTTGCGATTTTTTACGAGCAACCAAATTTATTATATTAATCCACAGTATTACATCAAAATAAACTTGGTATAACTTTGATACTTTAGAGTTAAATCATACACTTCCGTACAAACAGCACGGGGTCCGCGATCTACCGCAGGTAGATTGCCTACCTGATAATGTACTGCTGCGATTCAGAATTTTTATTCAGGGCAACGGGAAAGATAAGATAAATTTTGAACACCATACACGTTAATGAATTGAACAAAGTTTGAGTAGGTAGTATTGAGTTGATCCATTTAACGGGCGACGAAGTGCACGGGATCAGCTAGTATATTATATAAATGAATGTTTGTGTGCAGATTAGACCTCTGGGAAGAAGACAGGCTAATTTAACAATGGTTAAATTTGGTTTTTTGTATTCATCTGATATTAGTACGGTTAGGTTAGGATTTTGTATTAATTGATTATATTAATCCACCATAGGTTGGTATAACTTTGATACTTTAGAGTTAAATCATACACTTACGTACAAATAGAACGGGGTCAGAGATCTACCACAGGTTAGATTGCCTACCTGATAATATACTGCTGCGAATCAGTATTTTCATTCCGTGCAACGGAAAAGTTAAGATACATTTTGAACACCATCATACACCGAATATTGAAAAACGAATTGAACAAAGTTTAAGTCATATAGATTTGGTACATTTAACGGGTAATAACGAAGTGCACGGGATCAGCTAGTTTTGATATAATATTAGTCACATACTGTATAATATTAGAATACATTTTTTTAAACAAACAAACAAATGAAAGTGTTAATTGCATATTATGTAGTGAGGAAAACATCCTATAGAACTTGTACTCCTCAATTCTATAACATTATATGGTATAGATATGGTGCATTCGTAGCTATTCTGTCTTTCACAACCCCCCTCCCCCGAAATAACACACCCCACCATATTATAAACCATTGTCGCGACCACAGTAATATAATATTATATAATAACGCTGAGAATTTAGCACACTAAACCCACTCGTATAGAATCTATGTGACCGCATGATAATTGTATTCAATACGAATACTATAGACGAAGCGACGATAATGCATCGCGGTGATACTATATTTTGTTCGTAATATGACACGTGAATATTTTATCAAGGTTTTAATTGATCCAAACCTGTAGGTACAATGAACCCGAATAAATTAGCCGTGGATATAGATTGAATTCTTAATGATCGAATGATGTGACGAACCACTCGAACTTTATGGTATATATCATATACCAGCTATACCTACCTATACAATGCGAACACGACGTGAATAATATTTGGTGGCCGATGAGCGTTCGGCTGCATGTTACTTGCGTCCCAAAAAAAGATATATTTTTCAGGTAGTAAATTTGACCGGTAAATTGCGTCTCGTTTTGGGGACGCAAGTCAGCCATATAATTACTATCGATATTATCTTCTAAAATCATTAAAATCGATAGTATCGTGTCACTGAAATCGATAGTTCATAAACTGTACCGTTACATGTGTGTGAGTGCGTGCGTTACTTACTTACAATGTAGATACAATTTATCTATGATAGGTACAATATGATAGTATATTCTATTAATAACTTAGGTGGGTATTATTTTATGTGAAAAGATATGGGAACATGTATACATCTTGTTGGTTATTATAACATGAATTTTTATATTATGACTATTGCAATTATTATTTTGAAATGTAAAACATGAATTTTTATATTATTATTATTATTATTATTATTGCAATTGAATTGAACTGATAATTTATTATAATATGAATTTTTATATTATTATTATTATTACTACCATGACAAAATATTATAAAACATATAAATTTGTAATTTTATAAGTTTGAATTTTAAAAAAAAAGCGTGAAAAATTGAATATATACTCCTGAAGTTGAAAAATATTCGTTCAACTTATATAGCTAAGAATTGAAATATACTCAGTAATATCATAGGCTGTTTTCGCTCAGAATAGTTTTTTTTATACTTTTTTTTTTTACATTTTTATATCGATTATATCGATATTTTTGGGACGCAATTAGGTCATAAAAAAAGGTGTACTGGGACGCAAATAGGCTATGACCTTTTTGAACTTTTTTTTTGCGGGACGCAACTCACCTACTGATAATAATTTCGGACGCAAGTAGTATGCTCCCGAGCGTTCTATACCTTTGCGTGTAATTGTCGTAAAGAGGGCCGGTGAGTTTCGTCGGGTCGGAAGTGATTATAGTGCGGTCGAGGCTCGTAATGCCTCATCGAGTGGCGTTTCTTAGAAAACTTAGTCGCACCGTACGGTGTAATAAGTGCCGCTCGCGGATGGATACCTACACGATAACCCGGTATACGGTTAAAAGTCGTGTCGGACTGGTGCGGAAAAAACAGACGGCGACGACCCTGGACTATATATAGCTCCTTCGTAATTAAATCCCGAAAACGGTGACGAATCGCAAAAGATCGACCGGAGAGCAGCATACATCGTGTATTAAAATAATTGTATTGTGCGTGGCGTGACGGCCGCCATCGAACTGCGCCTACCGAGCTTATACCGTGGTTACCGGCGTCCGGAATTCCGGCCGGGGCTTATATAATATAGACCATCGAACTATAATAAGGCGATTCGCTGATGAGTACATTCGTGCTGACGGACCCGTCTGGAAAGTTGTTATACGCGGGCACGTATTGAAGATCCGGTGAGGTTTAATACCGGCGAGGTCCGATCCACCGCAACAGTGTTTACGGTATACTTAGATTTTTGGTTTGCTCTGGTCGAGGCCATTCGATTTCGTTTTCGCGTTTTCCCCTCGTCATTATAGCGATGACTAGCCTCTGCAAGTGCATATATATAAATGTTAAATGTTTATAGAGTTGCGCAGTGCGACGAAATTTAGAACGCGAATCTGGCGATATTCAACCAACTGTTTTCGCGTCGCCGACCATATTATATAGGTACAGCGCGTTTCAATAAAAGTAAATATCCTGGTATATTCCTGGTATCTCAGGAATCGTATTTATGTGATCTTAGGGGTACACCGCTCAGTGACGGATATCCCTTGGGATTTTCACCACCACTATACACTATTACAATATAAAATAATGGGAGGGGTTGAAAGTCATTAACTATGCGGATTTGAAATTCACATTCTACGGGGCCCCCCGCTGAAAACTAGGGAAATATTATATCCTCCACTGACACCGCTGGACTTTTTTTCTTCGGGGCCATTTCAAAGCTCGTGTCTACTACGAATATAGCCGTCGGAGAACTTTAGAACGGAATTCGTATGTATATTCGTCTCATTGGTATGAACTCTCGACCCTAGATGAGATGTGTAAGCTAGTGATTGCCAATGTTGTGACCAGAATTGAAACTTATCAGGGTAGTAGATCCGAAAATAATACGTCCTGTTTTATATATATTCCTTATGTTCACATATATACTAGAGGTTATGATCTGATGATACCGTGTCAATATTGAAGTTCGTGAAGTTGCCAATCCCCGAACGTCTCAGTGGTCGGTCGAATGGATGTTTGGGTGGTTAGATAAGCATAAGCTATATGTAATATGTGACACACTTGTACGATTCCCGCGAAATGATTTATCTATAATTTAAATTATATTTATATTTTAGATTCTGAGCGGAGCGAGGAAGCAAGTGGTTTTACAATGGTGTTTGCTTTTTTTTTATCCTGTATACAAAATGTCTACCAGAAGAGTGCTTCAATTTCAACATAATATAGTACCTTATCTTTTAAAAAATTGGATCAAGATGGTACTTTAAAGCGGTCATTTTTAAATTTTCTCAATACTTATTTAATGCCACGGGAAAAACTACCTACAAATTACGAAAAACTGCTAAAAATGGGATATTAATTTCTAACGCTTTGTCTATCGCCATAGCAACGAATAAAAATAATAATATTATTATATTTATTCAACTTACAGGCTATAATAAATAATAACAATATAAAAATCCAGAATGACAATCCCTTTCCGCTCAGAATCGTTTACTGATACAATTATATTATATCATTGAATTCAAGTTTAATACAACCCATTATACATTGTAACCTACTGTACAGCAGAGATACATCCACTTAGCCACTTTTTTAGTTAATATTTATTAAATTATAATAATATGTGTGTATAATAATATAATATACTATAGTATATTACTGAGTTCCGCCTTATTGATTATTTCGGTTAATGGGCTCATATTATACTATGTTCCTATAGTGAGTCCAATAAGTGGTGACTATCCTGTATGATATATAGTACATCAGTATGTATCCGATTACTCATATTACCTAAACATACATGTATTGCTTAAATAATAAATATAAAAAATTCCAAAACACCAACAATATAATAGAATATCATTTATTCATTTACAAGCCAATAAGATGTCAAGTAACTAATGGTTGGCAGTAATTGGAAAATTTTTTTTGGGAAAATAAAAACTGAGAAAACCGGACTGAGATAAGGATCTCCCCTTATAGATCCACTGAGTCTGTCAAATTAGAATACCCTTGGTCGTGGATCTTCCATATATACAGCTCTGAAGAGTTCGCACTGCCTTTGACTCCTTGTCGTGTGACATATGTCAAAACATTATTTTATCAGCGAAAACTTCACCGTCAATACTGTAACAGTAAAATATATTACAATATATACCGTGAATTATGTCATATTTTTTGGTTGGTAAAAATATTAAACTATACCTAGTGAATATTAAATTATGGTGTCGAATAAGATAGGTACGCTTTAACATTAGTAGTATGTGCCTATTATAATATAGTTCGAATTTGATTAAGCTTATAATATAACAACAATATACAATATAATATAATATAAATAAATTATTAAATGAAATAATATCTTGTTTAGCAAATTAAATAGATTATAATAAAATGTTGATTGTTATTATTTCTTATTTATGTGATTAATTCAAACAAAAAAATATATCAATTATCAGGGCTCTTTGCGCCCTAATCAATTATTCGAATTTTGGGGTTTCTAGTGCTGGATGTATTCTATAACATCGAAACACGACGATTTTTAACAACATTTGGGTGCTCATAACTTATTATTCAGGATAATATTTTGGATTATACGGCTGTTAAGTACATAATATATGATAAAGGAACAACTTGATTTGAAAACTGTAAAACGTATAAACCTATTTTTTTAGATTTGGACGATAATCTTTAAATATTATATAATATTATACCAACTCATAAAATATAAATGATAGACGTGAAACTACAAAACGATAGAATGATAGTGAAGTATTAATGTTAAATATAAATATTGATAATCACTATTATAAAAGCTCGATAATGTTAAAGAGTCGTTAAGTCTTTCGAAATTACCATTAGAGCAATACCTTACAACAAACAAAAATATAATATGACATATAGTTCCGCTGTTGTATTTTGTCTTCCAGATTTCCTAATTTTCGGGTTAATTTTCTTAAAATTTTCTTTCATAAAAACTTTTTCCTGACAATTACGAAAACAGCAAAAAAAGGATCCGCCAAATCGGTCTCGTAGTTTCTGAGATTAGCAGTTTCAAAGTATATAAGTATAAAAGTAGTTTCTCTTATAAATATATATAGGAACACAATATTAATTGTGCACTTGGGGGTACTCGTATTTTAATTGTCTTATAGTTAAGTCAATATTTTTTTTTTATAGGTCGACCCATCAGCTAAGTTTAATATAATAACATAATGTAAAATGTTTGGTATAATAATAATGTATAGTACTCGTCGACTGACTATTTGCTATTCTTTAGATACGGCAAAAATAAAAGTCTTATCTAAAGTTTTATCGGAAGAAAGTCAGAACCCACGTTTTAGAACAACTTGAAAGTTTTGGAAAATTCAAGTTCTTGAAGTACGAAACATTCACCATTTTCGGTTTATTGGTCAAACACCGAGAAAGATGTATTGCATTATGCAATTTGCATATAATATACACTTGACGTATTTTTTATGCAGTATTCTATATATTATCTATTATTGTGATGGATATTTTTTTTATTTTATCATTTCGTCTTTAGTATTGTTTTGTCGTTATTTGGATTGAGTCCTCCCATAATAATAAGTATGATAATATAATTATATTAAAATATATCTGTCGACTTTCTTTTGAGATTTCGTCAAATAACTGTGCGTCCAAGCGTCACGTCGTCGTTTTTTGTTATTCGAAAATGAAAATATAAAATATTATAGTGTCGCAACTGTTGTTTTTAAAAACTTTTTCTAACAATTGAAAATCTTAGAAAATTAGAATTTTAAAGCTTTTGGTTTTTGTGGGGATCTGTGAAGCGAACTTATTTACTATAATTGTATTGTTGTTTTTTTATTGTATTTACGCTTAAATTTAAATAAAATCCCTATACATGTCATATACAACTCATCTAGGAATTCAGATTCGCGAAATAATTATCAATTAACAAAATGTATAATATAATTGTATGTAGGTAGTATTCAATTTAATAGACATCGATGGATTCATCAAGTTTGCCTTACTTGTTTTTTAATGACGAATATAAATTCTGCGTGTAAAATAGTAAAATGTCCAAGTGACAAAGAACTTTTGCGTGAAATTTGGGAAAAATGTTTTTTTTTCTTTTAATATTCATCGCGTGTATAATATAACGGCTTGTCTGATATTTTTATATTTCCATTTGTTTTTTATCTGAAAAGCGTTCGCGTACCTTTGAAAAACCCCGTACAAAGGATGATATAACTCGTGTTAAGATGAAATGGTATGTATAGTGACGACTATAATAGAGGATTTTCATTAATGAATTCAAAATGAGGTTTTCCTTGTGCTGTGTAATTCATATTCACACGAATAAGTGAGGAACAACCGCGGGGCTGGCGTGTGTACGTGTGGTATGTAATATGTTCGTACGAATGCATTTTTTTATTTTTATAAATACTATATTATACACATAGTCCCAATGAAAATTATAAAATATTCTATACATTAATATACATGTGTCATAATATGTGTGTATAATATTTTTATAATATCTCCTCGAGAATTCAAGTCTGTACGAAATATAATATAATATAATATTTATGTATAATGTATACGTAGATATTACGAGGATGAGACAATCATAATTATTATGACATTAATCGTCGTCTCTAAAGAGTGTTAAAAAGTTATTAAAAAATGTTTTCGTTTATAAAACGATTCGGCGGGGATTTTAATTTGAAAAAAGTATAAACGATCTCCGGCGAAATCAAATAAGCAAAATATGCAGATTAAAAACGGTTAGCTTTTAGTGATATTTTTCATAATTAAAAAAATGTGTTGTATAATTTTTGATGGCGAAAAAAAACGCACACGTGGGTGATTGTATTATGAAATTATAAACCGATTTTATTAAAACAAGCGATTCGATTATTAAGAAGTATATTACATACATATTATTATATTATAACGCAAATAAGTTTTGACTTGAGGTAGTCACTAATCATTATAACAGTTCCTATGTATATTTTCCCGTGGTGAGACTTTCCTAAATCTAAGAGTAATATATTATAGTATTACTGAACTATTATTCCTTTTTATCGCCCAAATGTTCAAATTTACAGATGATAATAAAACGACGATATACCTGATATAAATCATATTATGATATAATAATATTATAAAACCAGAATGTTTTCAACTCTGTTTATATTATTATAATAATAATATATATGTTTTCCGGTTAAAGTCTTTCGAGAAATAATAATAATAATAATAATATGAGTATAATATTATGACGTTAAACAAATAAATTTCCGGAGCATTCAAATTAAATAATATAAAAAGGAACACGCGTTATATTTAATTCAATTAAATATCTCGTCTCGCATGCTATACGGAAATCTAAAACCATGAGATCTGTTAAGATTTCACCGTGCCATATCAAAAAGGTATTTCATTACGTTTGAGGAGTATGTGTGTGTCTGAATGAACGTGCGTTTTTGGAATTTCGTTCAATTTTTAATAAAATGAACGACAAATACGCTGGAAATCTAATAATAAGAAAAGAGCAGCGACTGCGGAGGAAAACAAACACATACAGCAGCAGCAGTCGCATCGCCGCCCATAAAAAATACCGACATATATGTATATATAGCAATCTAGAAGACAAATAATATACCATGTATTATTATTATTATTATTTAGTATTAATAAAATAAAGAGTATCGTTTTACACCTTAACGTAACACACCCGCGAATTGTAAAGCGATTGCACTCGATTGTATATTATAATATTATTTTACAGGTATGCGAGCCATCTATATATAGTAATATAGCATGTTATTTTAGCTCAAGAAAAGTGTGATATAAATAATATATTATATAAAAATGGCTAAATATTCATAGCTTCAGAAACTGCACTGTATATACATTGTTGTTAGTTGGCAATAAATAATAAGTTGTGTAGATGTTATAATAACTATGCAAATAACAAGCAATTACTATTATTGATGAGATGCAGCAAGATTTATTTCTGTGCACGGCGTCGGTTATGGGCACAGCGATGATGGTCAGCGAACAATCGCGAGGTAGTAGGGTACAATATATTTTTACCTTTTTTTTTTATTAACACTTATCGTTATTATTATAGATAATTACTAACAATATTATTAAAAAAACGGTATAATAATCGGATGGACTGATTTATCGCAAAAACCGCGGTCATACGTTTAACGGCGCTGTTATTATTTTTTAATCGGTTTTGTTCGATATACATGAGATATTGGAACGTTTATGGCAAATTATATCTGTATCGATTAAAATGAATCGCGTTATGCATAGTAATAATAATATAATACAATATATATTATTATTATTATTATTATTATTATACACACAACTGAGCAGACACATGTGTGGGCCGCGCGCGCGTAAAACACACACACAATTAAATGTAATTTTCAAAACGTTTTAGGATAGTCCTCGACGGCGAGGGTAAATATTTACGTTTTAGACGGATATTATAATATTATTCGCTGTGTGTTTTAACTCGATTCGCACATCCTCTCCGAATCGACCGCCAGTGGTGTATAGGTATTATGTATATATTATTATATGTATAGCTACAACTACGCTGCAACGTGTGGTGTGGACCATATTATAGTGTTTTCTGCCGTATTAGGCATAATAATAATAATAGTACTATGATATACTCATCAAAATATAAACAGTAAAAACACGATGGACTATCCCACGTATAATGCATGCGTATTAGAAACAGGAGCTAGAAATCTGGAAGGGGCTAATTTTTTTCTTAAATAAATACAATTTAATTTATATATTAAATGTATGAGATATAAGACGTAGGCCCATTATACTACCATAGACCAATAAACTAATGGACAGCGCATATTCCACTCCTCCCTGCCCTCAATGTTAGGTGATCAACCATATAACCGGGAGAGAAAGAACATTAAGTAGTGATAAGGGGCCCTCACAAGGAACTCCATACATTTTACTACTTTGTTTCTTTTCTCGCTCACTATATATCGTACCTCTGACTCTCTAAGCTCTGTCCATTAGTTTATAAGTCTATGCAATACTACCTATATAGGTAGTATATATTGTATATTAATAAATGCATAATATATAAAGTTTCCAAAATAGGGTGCCATATATACTATACGGGATAATGTACGTACAAATGTCAAATGTGATATGAATACCTATTGCTATTAAAGATAAAATAATACAACTTCAAACATTTTATGATATCAGTTTGTTACACTACAATAATATATACACGAATAGTTGTTAATATTGTTGTACAAACAATGGGGGAATCAGAATTTCGTGGATAGTTTTGACTTTTGATGTTATAGCCATTTATACATTTGATTTTAATCATGGTGTATTTGTTCAATAACAATCAAAGTAAGAATAGGTTTCGTGGGTCAAAAAGGGGTTCTCCTACTGGTTTGATTAAACATTTCAAATTACACGTTTAATTCACTGTATGACTATCAAAAAATGTATTGTTTACAGCAGTTGTATTGAAATTCGCAATATTATTAATATATATTTATACCATAGGCGCAAATAGGGGGGGGAGATTTAGGGGCTACTCCCAAATGTCCTTAGCCCCCCAAATATTTCCTAAATTTTGTTTTAAGCTTATTCAATATTATCAAAGTAAGGCTGCAGCCCTCCCAAATCCCAAATACTATTTGCGCTTATGACTTATACATTCAATTCAATCTTCATAGTAATGTGCTGTTGGTGTTTTAGTAAATAAAAAGTAATTAATTAAATATTTTATTTTGACAATAAATGCTATATTCACAACAGTTTTGTCCTATTTAAAAAAATAAAAAATTTATTTAAAATTAATTAATTAAATTTATAAAAAAAATAGTACCATAGTTTTATCATTATAACATTACTAGAAATGTACTAAATTAACATAACAAATGTTCGGTCAAACAGATCAAAACAGTCACTAAACATGTACCTAGTATTTAACATTCTTGAGCAGTTATCTAATGGGTATACCTAACCTAACCTATTTGTTACATGTAAATCTCCATATATTATATATTATATACCTTTCCATCTCTTAGATAGGTATATTATATTTTCATTTTGTTTACCAGCAATCTTAGCATTTTATATTTTAATACTACATTATTTCATATAATATTATTGGTAAATAAAAAGTATGATTTTATTTTCACACAATTTTCTATTTAAATGATTTAGCATAATATCCTATTCTTCTTTACAACCCAGAAGTTCAGACGCCTAATTTCTATTTGTTGAGCTGTAATGGTATGATTATATTAATAACCAATAAAAATTTAAAAATCATTCATACTGTACACACATGTAATAGGTATAATAATAAAAAAAAAAAATAATAATACAATAATAAATATAAAAATACTCAGTTCAAAAGAAAAAGAAAAAAAATAAAAAAAAATATTTTTTGTTAATAAATAAATCTCTCTTTCGAGGGCTTGTGTGACACGGTGGTTGGCTGCAGTCACTATAATGTGTGCTTGCCCCACATATACATGTGTTCCAAACTTCCAACCTGCCCCCACAAATTTGCTAATCACCATAGTTACAGAATTTTAAGATCAATTAAAAACAAAATTTTTATTGATCAGCTGAAAGAAACAAAACAAATGAAATGTAGCAAAAAGTTTTGCAGAGAAAATTGTTTTCCTGTTAAGAGAATGTAACACTGTTATCTCCATCTTACAAGTACATAGCATAGCAAACTAACGCTCAGCAGATCACGGTTAGCTTCGTTAGTTTAAAAATTAGAATGAATCGACTTATTATCTGTTCTATGTTTTAGCAAGTTGTGCACATATAATAGAGCATAAATTAAAAATGCTCATAAGTCACTTAAAAACTGAATTACTGTAAAAACCCCACATACAAACACAGATAATGTTCTTAATTCTTACCATAGAGTTTCATATTAAGTTGATTGATTCTAATTTTTAAACTAATGAAGCTAAACATGATCTGATGAGCGTAAATTTGCTAACTTGTAAGAAGGATACAAAAAATGCCAGTTACGACCTGTTAAAAACTTACTGTTGGCAGGTGACGGTAGTGGTTCTACCGAGCTACTATCACCTCCTGATAATAATATGTTTAATTAGATTTATCAATATCAAAGAAATATATCCATTAATCCTTACATCATTTGGTGGCGGTGTTGATGCTGCTGTTTCACGGACCACCTGAAAATAATGTGTTTAATTAGATTTATCAATATCAAAAACTTGAATATTTTTAAATATGCAAATATATCCTTACAAAATTCCTCTAGACAGCGGTAATGGACTGCCTCTTCTGGTGCCGCAGCCACTCTTACCAGCTATACTAGTTGGCTGCCACCTTGATATTATAATATCGGTAAAATCGGAATGATATCGATCCACAAAATTATATCGTTGCCAATCATTAGTTGTTCCACTGCCGCGGCTTATGTTGTAGATTAAAGTGCTCATTCTAAAGTTCATAACAGCAAGTTAATAGTAAAATAAAAAGTAATTTGACTTTATATATATTATATACTAGCTGATCCCGTGCACTTCGTTTCCCGTTAAATGTACAAATTCTATATGACTCAAACGTTGTTCAATTCGTTATTTAGTTATTTAACATTCGGTGTATGGTGTTAACGAATGATGGCAACGAATAATTATTATTATAATAGCTTTAAAACCCATATCTAAATACCGAAATCTAATACCGCAATACAATAGCGAGAAATGAGCATTTTTAATTTGTAATATTTCTCAATACCCATAATAATATTATGTCGCTTGAAAATTAAAATATTGAAAAATCGCTGACGCTTAGTGCCTTAAGCATATAGATAATGTTCTTACCTAAATGTTTGACGATTGGTCAATTAACTCTAATACCAAAACTAACGGAACGCTATTGAAACCATTGAATGAACATTTTGTACGTGGTACGTGTGTAAGACGGACCCAACAAATGCGTCCTCGCAAGTAGCCAGTAAGTATAATATTATCGTGACTAGGATTCAACAAAATGTTGTTTTTTGTAGTAATATTATTTTAGTAATAAAATAAATTCCAAGAATTTAATAATATTAATAATAATGCTAATAATATTAATATATTATTAGGTATAAAAAAAAAGGTAGTTAGCTGATCTTGCGTGGCGTGCCAGCTTGACAAATTATTAACCGGCCCTTTTTTTAACCCCGTCGGATGTAAACAGAGCAGATTTTTAACACTGTTATTATAAATTTGGGTTGTTTTGACTGACTTTTGGCCAATATTAGGAATATAAATTACAGGTCTAAACTGTACTATATCATGTCCAATCGTAATAACTAATAACTAATAACTATTTTAATTTTTCTTGCTGAATCTCAGAATCTATACTGACAAACATAATATTTCGATGAAAATCGGTCGAAAACTGCAATGGATTTGCATCAGGGCCATCATTTTTGTGCTCCTATGAATGTGTATATAGTAGATATCATAAATATTAAATTATACATAGCCACATATAGGTGTAATAGTAGATATTTTTACTAAGCGGATCCTGCAGTACGACGTTGCCTGCGATAAATTTTAATAATAATGCCAGTGGATTTAGGCCGTCTAAACATTCCGTTGAATGCGTAAACCACACATATTTTTAACACAATCATATTATTTTTATGTTCATTTTTCGTGAGCTAACAAATCCCCGTCTGAGCCCCCTCTTTAAAATGTAAAAAATGGGCTCCTGGTTGCATCTGATTAATACTTATACCTGTGTACCAAATCTCTGAACCAAGAATGCGATTGGCTTGGCTGTGGCCTGTGGATCACCTTACACACAACACACACACACACCAGAAAACATTTATTTTTAATAATACATATATGATTATTACAGACTTGAGTTCCATAAGACTGTTATAAATAATACCTAGTCAGTAGTATAACCAGTGTATTTACTTTCGACAATATTGTAATAATAGACGCACCTCTCTTTTCGCATCGTCAGTGTGATGACTCCGAACAAAATTCACTCACTCCATCTGCGTGGTAGAATCCGTGAGTACACCGCATTGAGGCCTGCGGATGCTGTTGATGACGAAGGGCAAAAAACACAACCCCCCACCCCCCATACTCGTCCACTCGAGTATAATGTCACAAAAAATCTCAGGAGCAGTTATTACTCGTGCACAATTATTAATCGCTGTACGTGTAGTTGTAGTAGGGGAGGGGCGATATTCCGATGGCACTTGGAGGTATTCGTTTTTACGTTTGGCATATACCTACTGAAAAAGACTTACACGATAGACTATATTATTATATTATACAATTCCACAGCAATGGAACGTAGGTAATGTAAAAGGGTAAATCGTTCGGTAATAACTTACTATTATTTTAACTCCCGACCGGGTGGGTGTAATTTTACTAAACCGAATTTCCTGTTTTTAAAAATCCTCTGGTCACCACAACATACGCATAACGCATAAGTCTAGGTATATTATATAATACATACAATGTTTGCCACTGCAGGAGAGTGAACTTGTCTTGCACGGTGTCCGGTATGATATATTATATTATATTTTCGTATTCTGCCAGTGGCGCGTTACATCATAACAGGTACCTAGCTATATATTATATCGTTTCGACTTTCGAGACACTCCCGGGAGCCGTCGAGTCTACGGTCTCCATATGAGTTAGTGGCTATATAATATACACTGCCGTGCTTCATAGGGTATATGTTTGAAACCATGAGGGATCAGAAAAAGTGGTCGCCCCTCCCTTGCCCAAACGATTGAGGGGTGTGAGAGAAAGGACACCAAATTTTTTCCAAGATGATGACGGGCATAAAGTCACCAACCGCCCAGGACACCATTAATAATACGTGGGACGATTAATCGCGTTCGTCGGATGACCCCGGCCAAAAACAACTAGGTATATAAAATTATACCGCAGTGTATAATGTAGTATTATAATAATATTATAATATATTGCAGTTGTATTTTTGGTTTTCAGACTATATTATAATATGACTTTTTATCCTCACTCACTATCTCTCTGATAACCGCATCGAAGACGTTATCTGTAAATATTATGTATTACGTATACATTAAATTTGTATTATGCCAATCATGGTTTTGGGAGGCTCGTTATAAGTATATTGTAACGATTTAGTCTGTTTTAGATTGCTTTATGATCGAAGCAGGATAAAAAATGTCATGTATTATCACGCCGGCTAAATACAAAGAACCGCTAATACAGGTAACTTAACATTATAGTATTTCATTGTACTTAAACATTTCTGGAAAATCGTCTTTATGAATAAATTATAACATATACTTACCTAAGTCTTTTTTAAAATGCAAAGATTTACTATGACCTAATCTACCAGCATAATATCTATATTATTTTCTATCAACGAACAATCGTCGAGGGACCACACTTTATAGTTAACTGTGTGTGACGCGGCGGTGACTTGCACTGAGTGTGACTCTGAACCACGATTATAGATAGCCTCGTGGGTTTTTTTTAAGTATTGCAATTTAATAGATGATATAAATAGATGGGAGTGTTCTCACTCGTTTAAAATCGTTTTAAGCTATGTGGTATACACATATGTAGGTATATGCATTACTGCATTTAGGTATATTATCACGCGAATCTATTCCATCGAAGTCGTATAGTGTACTTGCACGGCTGGTCCGATAGATGTTACGTGGTTACCAAGCGTGGTAACACGTTGATTATTTCTAAATCGTTCAACGTCGATGAGGGTGACGGTGACGGCGTGCTATTCGCACTTGTAATATTTCGTTAGATGCGCCACGGAACTGGTCGAGGCGCGTTATGGATTTTTTAGGGTTTTTTCTGTAGCGTTTCTACCAGCATATCCTCCCCCCCCGGTGGGATATACTAGAATATAATATATTATTATTATCGAACGAGTTATAGCCTATATCTAGGTGTATAGCAGGCGTGGTATACACATATAATAATATTATAATATCAAATATGTATATTGTATACATCATTTCGTGACGCTCTCGTGTGTCCCGGAGTGGTGGCCGCGGGGGTGGACGTCGCGTGAATTATGTCGGTGCAAAAGAGGTTATATAGGTCTCCACGCCGACAATGGGCCGGCGTGGAGGGGAAAACGACGTGGATTCGAAACCATGAAAAAAAAAACCAAAATAAAAAAACAAAACAAAAAACGAGCAAAACTCGAGTGGGGATCGGAGTCTGAGTGGAAATCGTTTCGGCGGCGGGAGCACATAAATACGTTATTTGTGTGCGGCACGGGTATCCCGGGTGACATCCGCGTGAAGGCCTTTCCTATACATGCCATATTATATTTATATATATATATATATATTATTATACTTATATCCTGCTCTGGGTGATAAATGACCAGTGGCGCGTGTGCTCGCCCCTGCATGACCCTCGTCATCGGAAACGTTTTAATTCCCTCGTCGACACACATATTATAGAGAGAGAGAGAGAGAGAGAGAGAGAGAGAGAGAGACCACTCTGCCACAGCGAGCCTGCACGACGAAGTCTCCGACCGTCCTCGTCGCATGGATATATAAACGTATTCGTATATAATATTATATAGGTATACCTCTATATAATAATATGTGTAGTGCTATACACATGACTATGTTACCGCCGCCGCCACTGATACCGCCACTGACATTGTCACGACGTAGGTATACGCGTATACATACATGAGGGGTATATTATTATCATTGTGTTATAATATTATTAATATTATATAAAGGTGCCATCGGTGAGATGGCAAGAGTGCAAAGGGGTGGGGGAGTATTTCGTGTATACAACGTGATTCGTTTATCTTCTTATCGAAGGTACGAGGGATTTGAAGCTGTTATTATTACCTATTTAACTTTAATCCTAAACGGCGTTTGAGACTTGTTATTATAAAATTATATAGGTAGGTACTATATCTTCTGTTTTTTACTTTTGTTTTAGTGTTTAAATGAAATCGACACGATATTAAAGCTCAGTACGACTATATTATACATACCGGAAATCGCGATAAAATGATCGTCCTGTATATATTATACGTACGGCGGACGTATTAGATCGTAATAATAATAATAATAATACCGTCGTAGTGGGTCGCGTGATCCTTTCCGCTCACCGATCGGGCTGGTATAATATATATATTATATCTACATATATATATCGCAGAGGCACCGCGAAGAAGATTCCTCCGCGAGGGGTTGTTGCGCTCCGTGTTTTGCGCCCGCCGCACCCTGTCGCCTGGGAATAATTTCGACCCGTAGTCGTCGCGGTAATGTACACACACACACACACAGTAGAAGCAGCTACTATATAAACAGACGGACGTGATATTATTCTTCTTCGCCGGCAGAAGAGGGTTATTTTTGCTAAACCCGTCGGTAACGGATTTTCCGAATCTGCGTTTGAATATATACATGTATATAGAGCACAGCAAAAAAACCTCAGAGCTCGAA